TTTCTCTTTCTATCTTTTATGATATATATATATTTCTCCTCTCTCTCTTTTATATATATTTCCTTTTCTCTTTCTATCTTTTATATATATATACCCTTTCTCCTCCTGTCTCTCTTTTATATATATTTCCTTTTCTCTTTCTATCTTTTATATATATATCCCATTTTCTCCCTCTCTCTCTTTTATATATACTTTCCTTTTCTCTTTCTACTCTTTTATATATTTATATACATCCTTTCTCCTCCTGTCTCTCTTTTATACTTGCTTTCCTTTTCTCTTTCTATCTTTTATATATATATCCCTCCCATTTTCTCTCTCTCTCTATTTATATATATATTTCCTTTTCTCTTTCTACCTTTTATATATATATACATCCCTTTCTCCTCTGTCTCTCTTTTGCATATATATTTCCTTTTCTCTTTCTATCTTTTATATATATATATCCTCCCATTTCTCCCTCTCTCTCTTTTATACTTACTTTCCTTTTCTCTTTCTATCTTTTATGATAATACATCCTTTCTCCTCCTGTCTCTCTTTTGCACTATATTTCCTTTCTCTTTCTATCTTTTATATATATACTCCCATTTTCTCCCTCTCTCTCTTTCCACTTACTTTTTCCTTTTTTCTCTTTCTACCTTTTATATATATATCTCTTTCTCCTCCTGTCTCTCTCTTTATATATATATCCTTTTCTCTTTCTATCTTTTATATATCTCCCCTCTCTTTTATATTTCTCCTCTCTCTCTTTTCTTTCCTTTTTATCTATCTATCTTTTATGATAATATACATCCTTTCTCCTCCTGTCTCTCTTTTGCACTTGCTTTCCTTTTCTCTTTCTATCTTTTATGATATATTTTTCTCATTTTCTCCCTCTCTCTCTTTTCCCTTACTTTCCTTTTTCTCTTTCTATCTTTTATGATAACCACTCCCTTTTCTCCTCTCTTTTGTGTCTCTTTTATCTTTTATGCTTTCCATTTTCTTTCTCTTTCTATCTTTTATGATATACATCTTTCTCCTCCCTCCACTTTTTCTCCTCTCTCTTTTTTATATATATTTTTCTTTCTCTTTTCTCTTTCTTTTCTCTTTTATATATATATATACATCCTTTCTCCTCCTGTCTCTCTTTTACTATGCTTTCCTTTTCTCTTTCTATCTTTTTTATCTATCTTTTACTAACCCATTTCTCCTCTCTCTCTCTTTTCCACTTACTTTCCTTTTCTCTTTCTATCTTTTATGATATACCATATCCTTTCTCCTCCTTTCTCTCTTTTATATCCTTTTCTCTCTCTCTTCTATCTTTTATATATATAATATCCCATTTCTCCCTCTCTCTTTTCCACTTACTTTCCTTTTCTCTTTCTATCTTTTATGATAACCACATCCTTTCTCCTCCTCTCTTTTCTCTTTTTCTCTTTCTATCTTTTTATTGATCCTTTTTCTCTCTCTTTTTTTATATTTCTCTTTCCTTTTGATAATTTTCTTTCTCCTCTCTCTCTTTTCCACTTACTTTCCTTTTCTCTTTCTATTTTATTTATATATCTCCCATTTCTCTCCTTTCTCCTCCCTCTCTCTCTTTTTTTATCCTTTCTCCTTTCTCCTTTTCTTTCTTTCTATCTATTTATGATAACCACTCCCATTTCTCCTCTCTCTCTTTTTCCACTTACTTTCTTTCTCTTTCTATCTTTTTATATAACCACATCCTTTCTCCTCCTGTCTCTCTTTTGCACTTGCTTTCCTTTTCTCTTCCTATCTTTTATGATAACCACTCTCATTTTCTCCCTCTCTCTCTTTTCCACTTACTTTCCTTTTCTCTTTCTATCTTTTATGATAACCACATCCTTTCTCCTCCTGTCTCTCTTTTGCACTTGCTTTCCTTTTCTCTTTCTATCTTTTATGATAACCACTCCCATTTTCTCCTTCTCTCTCTTTTCCACTTCCTTTCTCCCTCTCTCTCTTTTCTCTTTCTATCTTTTATGATAACCACACCCTTTCTCCTCCTGTCTCTCTTTTGCACTTGCTTTCCTTTTCTCTTTCTATCTTTTATGATAACCACTCCCATTTTCTCCCTCTCTCTCTTTTCCACTTACTTTCCTTTTCTCTTTCTATCTTTTATGATAACCACACCCTTTCTCCTCCTGTCTCTCTTTTATACTTGCTTTCTCTCTTTCTATCTTTTATGATAACCACTCCCATTTTTCCCCTCTCTCTTTTCCACTTACTTTCCTTTTCTCTTTCTATCTTTTATGATAACCACATCCTTTCTCCTCCTGTCTCTCTTTTGCACTTGCTTTCCTTTTCTCTTTCTATCTTTTATGATAACCACTCCCATTTTCTCCCTCTCTCTCTTTTCCACTTACTTTCCTTTTCTCTTTCTATCTTTTATGATAACCACATCCTTTCTCCTCCTGTCTCTCTTTTGCACTTGCTTTCCTTTTCTCTTTCTATCTTTTATGATATATATATATTTTCTCCCTCTCTCTCTTTTCCACTTACTTTCCTT